GGTTCCGCTGTCCCCCCGGGGGTCAGCGAGGCAGTTCCCTGCACTGGGGTCTGCTGCCGCTGCAGTCTGGCTGGCATGGTGCCATGTTCCCTCGCCAGGCTCCTCTCCCGGCCCATGCGCCCAGCCATGCACCCAGATGCCACCGCAGGAACCTTTCACTGCTGGGCAAAGCTGTTGGCTCTTCAGGGCAACTGAGGGATCTTCCTCCCCACCCTGTATCTCACGCATTCTCTCCCTGCACAGACAACCTCTGGAGCGACCAGAGCCTGGAAACAGACCCTGACCTCCCCCCGAGCTGGAGGAAAATCTGTGACTCTTTGGGTACCTATTACTGGCATGTGCCAACAGGCACGACACAGTGGCAGCACCCTGCACGCACCACTGGCCCAGGAGGGCACACGGAGGCTGATGGAGAGGAAACACTCCAGGGAAGGGTAGGGAATGTGGGCAGGGGTGTGATGTCTGGTGTTGGATTCCCCTGTCAGAATCCTTCCTGCTGGAGGGCCCTCTGGGCATGACTGGTCCAGCCTCCCCTTGGAGCACCCTGTGTGACCCTGAAGACCTGCTCAGCCCATTTGTGTCTGGGGCTAAGCCCTTTGAAAGGCTCCAGCAGGCCCCATCCTGGGGCTCATCCTGGTTGGATTCATCTTGACTACCCAAGATGCTCACAAGCTTGTTGCTGTCCTGGGAGGGAGGGCTCCTACCTGGTGACTCCTGACTGCCTCTTGCAGCTGTCACCCCTTTCCTCTTCTCTCCCAGGAATGCCAGGGCTCTGCAGCGAAGCACTCGGCAAAGGACCGGCCCATTCCCAGCCCCATGGCTTCGCTGTCCCGGAGGTAGGGCTCTCCTTGTGCTTTGCTGATTTGTTTGTGGGGTACCATTGATCCTTGTCCAGTGCTGGGTGCTGGGGCCCTGGTGCTCCCCCCCCAGAGCAGCCCCCCATGCTGGGCACCCCCATGGGATGCTTTTGCAGCTGGTGCCTTGGGGGTCTGCTGCTCCAGGGCATCCTGATGCTTCCCTGCGTGCCCCAGGAGCACGCAGAGGGAGCTTCCCCTCACTGCCCCATCCTTCTGCAGGCACTCGCTGTCCTGGCATGGAGATGACTTCCAGCACAGCGCAGAGCCCGGCTCCAAGGTACCGCACCCGCCAGCTTCACTGCCGCATCGTGGGCTGTGCTGGCAGAAGAGGAGGAGGGTGGCAGCTGGCAGGGACATGGATGGGAGCCAGAGCAGGGGTGACCACTCTGTGACTGTGAGGGGTGCGGGATGGACGTGGCTGTGCCGGTGGCACTGAAGCCCCTCGTGTCTCTGCTCAGTGCTTTGCTGTGCGCTCTCTGGGCTGGGTGGAGATCCCCGAGGAGGACCTGGCACCTGGCAAGAGCAGCATCGCCGTCAACAACTGCATCCAGCAGCTCTCCAACAGCAAGGGCCAGGGCTCTGCAGAGAACCAGGGTGAGGTAAGAGCCTGGGATGGTGCTGCTAGCCAGGGTCCCACTCCAGACTCCTCACTGTTGCTGAGGCTGGACCGTGCTGGAGAGGAGCAGGTGGTAAACTCTCTACACAGGACATCATCCAATGGTCCCAGGTGTAGAGCAGGTGGATCTGACAGGGCTGTTCCTTGGGAATGGTGCCAGGGTACCCTGGGTGGTTCCCCACACATGGGAATGGTAACTGGGAAGGGCAAAGGAACAGGGCTGACCCCACAGTTCGGGCAGAATAGGTTGGTGGGGAAGGGGTTTTCCTACACAGGGACTGGATGCTGGGGATGGCCAGGCTGTCTGCCAGGCTGAGGGAACCACTGTCCCTCTTCAGGGCCAGGACCTAGTGATGATTCTGAAGAAGGACACCATGAGCCTGGTGGACCCCCTCGACCGCAGCCTCATCCACCGCCAGCCCATCCTCAACATCCGTGTCTGGGGTGTTGGCTGCAACAATGGCAGGTGCCATGGGCGG